AGCTAAAAACTGTATGTCATCTTGTACTTCAATGGGCCCTGTAGAAATGAGGAATACCTTAAATCTCCACTTAGAGTGTCCTCCACAAGATGGGTGCACAGAAGTATAACACACACACACACACACACACACACACACACACACTCATTGAATCAATGAATGTATTACATAGATATTTCTGTGCAATTGATGCGAGCTTTTGTTACCACAAGAATGGCTGTTGCTTGTGAATTTCAAGAAACATGTAGTTGGATATCTCCTATCCACATGCATTCCTTCCTCAGGATCTGATCCTGAACTTTATACCTGGAATCATAAAAGAAGCCAACTTGTATATGAAAAACTTAATTATAAGTTTCCAAACAGAATAGGTTAACTTGTCACGGCCAAGTCCTCACAGCCAACTCGCCATGGCCAACTCACCATGGCCTAGTCACTGCAGGCCAACTCGGCATGGGAAAATTCAACAAATACAAAACTTAAACTTTGACAGAACCGTGGCCAATAATAATAAAATAAAAGAACATCAATCCAGAAATACAAGAGTTACAATTATTTTGACAAAAACGTGTTCACCAATAATAAAAGTACCTGAATGAAATGATTAATACAGTGTTGAATTGTCCTGTGGTGAGTTGTCCTAGACTTATTGCCAAAGTTCGTGTGACTGTGAGACGACCAGCATATAAATTTAATAAATATATAAAATAGCACAGTGGAACTGTTAATGGTTTATATAGCAGACATATGTGAAAAACTGCTTCTGATCATTTGCTCCTTTGTTTATTCATTCAATATGTGTAGCCATTCAGTTTACACTTGTGACTCTAGGTTCAGATTATGTTCCATTATAGGTTGCTCTTGTAATTAAAAACAACCACAAAAACAACCAACAAAAAACCCCATAACAAATAATGCCAATAGTAATACCCAAATAATACCCAAATAAAAACCATAAAATATATGCTAGGAAATTACAAGTAATGCATCAATAAATACAACCTAGCTTAGCTGGCTTCACAACTAGATCCCCAAGGACAATGACAAAGCCATGTCTTCAGAGCCTTTTTAAATGCAAGTGAAGTTGGGGCCATTTTTTTTGTTTCCAGGAACCATCAATTAACCTATCAGCGTTGTACCATTTTTAGTGCTGCTCAGTCATAGCTGTCCCAAAATGACAGCTTCAGGTTTTCAGCTATTTGGAGGACTTTATACTTGGCAGGTTTCCAGTCCATTACTAAATAATAGAAACTCATCTGGGAGAAAATAATAGAAAAAAAATTAAAAACCCAGACCCTAATTGAAATTTATATACACATACAAACAAATATTTTGCTTATTTATCTTTTTCAGTAGAAAAATGCCATAGAGGAAGACAGAAATAGATCAATAATTTTTTAAAAAGCCAATTAATGGATCAAAGACAGGTTCTGAATGCAAGAGATAATTATAGGTAGCAAAGACAGAATTAAAATAGAACAAAAGAGCAAGTATAGGATGTCCTTACAGTCAAAGCAATTGTAAACTCGTTGAAAAAACAGTGAGGCAAAAGGCAACTTCAGGACAAAAAGAGTAGAAGATGAGGTTGGATAAAAGGAAAGAAATTTAAAATATCAGCTGACTTAGAATAAACAATAAACCTTTGTAGTGATAAGATTTCCTAGTGGGTATGTTCAGATTCTGATATTTTGAATAAAGGTGTGTTGGAATATAGTCAAAATTGCTTATGTAAAATATATAAGGTTTTTGTGGAAGTGAGACTAAGATAAATGCACCTCAAAATGACCTCAGAGAAAAGGCTTAGGATTCATAGATCCTATGTTCATAGACATAAATCAGTAGGGAAACCAATAGTTAGATATATACTTGAGTGGTATCAAATGCTCAAACTCTTAATGTAAGTGGATTGAGAATTATGGCCGAAATATATGATGAAAAGAAATTTGGAAACCTATTTTGGATTATTTAGGGCCATCCCAGCATATCCTATCAGTTATTGGCATGTTGTTTTTCCTTGGCATGCTAGGCATTGTCTAGCTAAAAACTGGAGCTGGACCAAAAAGTCCAGATTTGATCCCTCACTCAGATCATGTAGGATACAAGGAAACATTTGTGAGAATACAAAATGGGGAAGGACCAAGTAGCTGTTTTGAGTTACCTGAAGAAAAGATGGAATAAATAACCAATAACAGTACTGAAGCCGAAGGAGCATGGTGGCTTGAGTGGTTAGAACCCTGGGCAGGAGGTTAGCAAGCGCGTGTTCGAGACCTGAGAACTGCATGGAGTGGGGTAGAGCTCTTGTCTTTCACTCCAGCTCCTGCCGGGGACAGGAAAGGAGCCCCCCAGCTGGGTATCCTCAGGTCAACAGTGATGTCACTAGTACTCCTTTCAACCCAGAAACGTCTCAGTGTTTCTGACTTGAGTGCAAGGTACTGAAACCAAGAACTTTCAGTATATTTATCTGGGAAAAGCTCTGAAAAAGGCAAACAAGAATAGACTTTCAAATAATAGTCCATAGGATTCCACTGCGTACATGCAATAATTTGCACGTACCGTGAACCCAATGAGCCTTGTCCCCAAGATAAAATATTTACAGCACCTTCTCCCAATTTGCCACATTCATATGTGTTTGTTTAGAATTACTAGCTACAACTGACCACGATGGCTAGGCATCCTTAGGGCTGTAGACAAATATCATTGGAAGCTGAGGAAAAAGTGTTTTGGAGTTAAGCTGCTCTCACCTGCATTGAGAATGAAAGCTACAGAAGGCACAGGAATTCTTTTGGCTGCCACTGTCTTCTTCTCATTGCTGTTTCATTTCCTGTTGCCCTGTCCAGCTCCCCCTCCTCTCAACATTTCTCTTGGTTTATTGCTCTTTTTCTATAAGCATTGACTTCATCCTCTTTCCCTCCTAGGCCCCTATGCAGCTTTCTGTCCTCTTTCTCTGGTTCCCTGCTTTGAAGATTTTGCTAGGATTTTGCATCCCCAGAGCTGGGGAAGTGAATGTTAGCGCTGGAGCCATAGTAGATGTACATTTAAGCATTTCTGCTCAGAGGTCCAACTGGGATGGCTCTTCTGTCAGAGCATGGTCATGCATCTTTTTCAGAAGCAGGTTCGTCTTCCTCCTCCTCCTCCTTCTTTTGGACAGGTTGCTTCTTCATAGAATCAGATAGCAGCATAGAAAAATTATGCAAATTGTTCCAATGCAATATTTTACAACAGTGTTTCCTAGATCAAGTTGGATTATAAGCTTTGTTATCTCTATTTCTTTTATGAGGTAAAATGCTGCTTTCGATAAAGATAATATCTGGAATGTGTTCCCATACTTTTTAAAGATGTCAAATACTACAATATAGTTGATTTAAACAAGGTTTATTAAATAAATTACAGTGTGTTTGGTTTCCATAACAACTAAGACATAAATTATTTTTTTAGAAATTACAGTGAGGCAATAGACTAAGCATGCATCATGGTTTGCTTTGTGAACCTAGCAACCTAGCTGTTCTTACTCTCACTTATATTATTGATTCATCTACTTTTCAACATACAATATAATATTTAGGAGGAAAATATTTCCTATGGCAGCTTAATGCAATGTTTAAACTCTGTAAAGTTGATTAAGTATATTAAATTAATATGGAAGGTCATATTTAATTTGTATTTTCCACTGCATTTTTAGGGAAGAAATCCTGTCAAAAAGGTTCAGTAGAACAATGTAATTAAATTACCTTTTTCTGCAGATACTAGTGCAACTCAATATTTAAGAATGTACACACATGTACACATCACTGTAGGAAAAGAGCACGCAGAGCTGGGGATAAGCATACTATTAGCTTAGAATCATTACATTGCCACAAATAGTCCAAGTCCAACTCCTCTTGAATTCCGTTGACCCTTATCTGGTGCCAATGTAGCATTGAACTTTAGTTGACTAGAATCTTGTGTATAGGCTTGAGCAATAAATATTGTGAGCCTCAATCTGATCGTTTGTGCTTGACAGTCTCATAGAAAATAGTCTGTTTAATTCCATTCCGTTTTTCCTGGACAATTAAATGGTAATGTTTCATTTGTTTCTAATTAAAAAATGCTGCCTCCATCAGCCCTTCAGAGAGTCTAAAGCTTGATTTGTGTCACTATCCCCAAACAAAGGACTCCTGCAGAAATTCCAGTTTGACAGCAAAAATATTTATAAATAATATAGAGAAAAATGCACATTAAATTTATTATTTCACAACCAGCTTCCAACAAGCAATTTCAATGGAAAATCCCACAGTAAAATAGCAAGCTATGTTTTACTCAATAACCACAAATCACTTACTCACTAACTGTAATAATACACACTAGTTTCAAAACAAGATGTATGAATAGATTATTGAAGGTGGAACTGTGTTTTCTTAAGTACAAGTGTTGGATTGTCTCCCACTATTAAAACAAAAATACTGTGAGGTTTGAAAACTTTGTAGAAAATAGCAGACTTGAATCCAGATTTAATCATATGCCTATAATCTCAATTTAAACTAGTGAGATTTCATGACACCCATAAAAAAAACCTTAAAATCCAAAGGAAATTTGGATAATTATGTTTAGCTGCAAACCTGCTGATTTCAATGGCCTAATCTAACAATGACTAACTCCAAATCCAACTAATCCTCTTTACTTTAAATTGTGTTCCTATGACGAATTTATAATGTGAGTTATTTTGTTTAGGTTTTTTAAGCATGTTGTGTGAACCCAGTCAAGGGTGGTTTAGTTAACCAAACAGTAGTAAACTACACTGTATTGTTTATATGTTAAACTTATATACTGCCCAACAATGCTGGGTAGTAAAATGTTTAATGTGAAATGATTATTTCCTGTATTTGTTAAACTTATAACCTAGCCTTTCCCCAGGAATTATTGGCAGTTTACATTTCATTTCATCCCTATACCAACAACCCTGTGATAAGAAGGGTAGGACTGATAGAAAGTCCAAAAGATAGACTAAACCAGGGGTGTCCAACCTTGGCAACTTTAAGACTTGTGGACTTCAACTCCCAGAATTCCTCAGCTGAGGAATTCTGGGAGTTGGAGTCCACAAGTCTTAAAGTTGCCAAGGTTGGACACCCCTGGACTAAACTTATCCCTGCCTTTCTAGGATTGAGGAGGGATTTGAACTGGGGCCTCCCCAGTCCTAGTTGAGAATCTCAACCAGTACATTATAACGTGCCCTAAGCATTTGATTGTAAATAATGGGTTCAGGCAACATAAAATATAGTGTTATGGGGAAAGTATCTGATAGTCAAGATTTGATAGTTTAAATAGGAAAAACTGATTATATGATATTAGATTTGCTCATGCCTAACCCTGCAAATGTCTAATAGTGTCCTGTACATTTTTTTGGTCCTACTTTAAAAGCTGAACGCAAAAAGAACTAGAAAAAAGAAAACAAAAAACAAATAAACTCAAAGGGCAGACTTGATGGACGACTAGATCCTTTCCTGCAATCAGCTTTCTATCTTTCTATGTTTAACTACCATTTAAGGAAAAATACTGTATGATATTAATTCTAGATTACTCTGAACTTTGTATCTCTACTAAATGTGATAAATTAGTAGTACCATAGATATGAGAGCCTTTGTGTGTCCAATCACACTTGGCCAATAAAGAATTCAATTCAGTTCAGTTCAATTCTATATTAGATGTAAAAATAGAAGATACATTTTTGTAGGTGAATTTCATTTTATTTAACGTGCATTATTTTTAAATCCAGTTAGCCTTGCAATGCCTATAATAATGACATTTCTGATCCAATTATATGAAGTTGAAATAAATGTGAAAAAAACATTCTCTTTTTAAAGGTACTTGAAAATGTATAAACTTACTACTTTTAACATCTCCTGCTTCTTGGCATCGAGCTTTAAAATATTTACTAGCTCCATGCTCACTTCGCTGCAAGGCTTCAGGCTTTTAAACTTTCAAACATTGTAGAATTTTAAAAGTTTTTAAAAACATATATTGTAATGAAATAATTATGTTAAAAAAAATGAAGCTTTCCCTTAATTTCACAGCTTTTAAAAAATTCTTTATGACTTTTCTGCAAATTCTATAGACATCCAGTCAGCTTTTTAATGAAAAGTTAAACCTCTAGTGAAAGACAGTCAAATATTAATGAAGCAAAAAACCCTTTCCCTTTTTAGTTTTTTTTAAAAAAAGGAGTCATTTGCTACAGTTGCATACGGTAACTCTAGTACAGCTTTCTCCAATTTAGTGACCTTCAGATATGCTGCACTTCACTTTCTACAATTCCAATTTGCTATAGTGAGCCAGTGGTTAGCATGCAGTACTGCAGGCTACTTCTGCTGCCTGTCGACTGCCTGCAATTTGGCAGTTCAGATTTCACCAGGCTTAAGGTTGACTCAGCCTTCCTTCCTTCTGAGGTGGGTAAAATGAGGACCCAGATTTTTGGGGGCAATATGCTGATTCTGTAAATGCTTAGAAAGGGCTGTAAAGCTCTGTAAAGTGGTATATAAGTCTAAGTGCTATTGCTATTGCTATTTTGTAAGCTAAAGATAAGAGTCAACATTCAATGCAAATTATCTGGAAGGCATTTAGGTAGGAGCAAATAGAACCTACCACTGGGTTGATGGAAAATTATGGGGTTGTCTCCCATTTTAATTCATTTAATTCATAATTCCAGTTTCAATATTGAAACTTCTGCCTTAATTATAATGGAATTATCTTCTTCACTGAGAGTCATCAGTTCAAGAATGTCTCCTCAGGAACTTTCAAGGCACCTGGGATGATCTCACCACAACCACACCAGAAACAGGTTAGCTTCCACATCTATCCCATTGCAATTCTACGGCTCCATATTATGATGATTTTATTAAGGTTCTATCTTAATTTAATATATTATATCTTATCTGATGCTTTACGCAAACTAAATTTATATGATTATATAAATTTGTGTATCAGTGATTGCATGATCTCTGTAGAGGCCATATGCTAAATTAACAAGGATCATGTTTCATTACTTCTATCTAAGCAGCCTTCCATAACCAAGAACATCTCAACCACCTCTGTTGAGACTGCAACTTCCAAAACTTCAAGTCAAAATCATACAAACAGCCTTTCCAACTTGCAGTTTAGCCCCAGAAACTGAAAGTTTAGCCCCAGAAACATTTGGAGAACCCCAAGCTATGGAACCTGGATATAGACTATCAGTTATCGAATATGAACAAAAGTTTAGATTATTGTTCTGAAAAAGGGAATGATTTCAATTTGCTAGGATTTGAAATCTCCAAACACAATTCTAATGTCTTATTAAAAAAACCTTCTATTCAGAGTTAGGTATTAGACTCATGCCAGAATGTTAACTGAGTTCTAATGTCAAAAAAGAAAAATGCCCTAAAAGCAGCATTATGGAAGTCATTTGATTGATTTTATATGGCAACACCCACCTCAAAACAATAACAAAGCAATGTTCTTTGAGGATGCATTTATTTGTATTGGGATTTCTCATACATTATGCAATAGTAACTGTAAGAGAACAAATGCTCTGCATTGTGTTAACATCTTCTGAGCATATTCTCAGTCATAGAGGAAAGAGTTTAAAATTCAAATGATTTGGGACATAATGCATGGCCGGGCTATCAAGTGTCTGAGAGATGCTGGCATTTGTAACTTTGCTATTTAATTTATTTAAGTGAAGGGGAGATTATTGCTTCCACTGATCCCTTTTTGGTCATTTGCACTTGCCCTTTTTAGAGAGTTGTCATATTTATGATGGTAGTGTAAGAGGTTGCATAGGAAATCATATGGGAAAAATTATTATACCCAACAATGGTGATACGGGTGAATACAAAAGTAACAGGCATTCAGGACTTTACTTTGTCCATTCTTTTACAACTGAGAAGTTGTAGCTTCTGAGTAGTCTTCAAGGGCAGCCCCTTGTAGAGACATTGCAGCAGTTCAAACAGAATTAGAATAGTAAATTAAATAGTAGCAATTAAAAAAAAACAGAGAAGAAAGAAGGCAAAGCATATCATAAATTATATTCTGCTAGGAAGTTGGAAGTTATTATACCTTAATTAAAAATATACTGACTGCATGTTGGTCATCCAAATTAAAGAAATCTTATGAGATCTTGCAAGAGAATGGTATAAACTCAGAAGAGCATTTTCACACATAGTTTTATTATCTTCTAGCAAGTCCATGAGATCTTTTATATTAAAAGGTTTCACTGTTTTAAATTTTATTTTATCTGATGTTGGCAGATAACTTGTACCATGGGCTGATGACTCCTGATAAGATATGAAATATGTTGTTTCCAAGCAGCCTGGAAAGCTGGAAGTTGTTTTGTGTGTAACACAAGCCACTGATTATTAGAAATATGCTAAAAAGATACCTATATCACAATTCAAACACTTGGCAACCAACATATATTTACAATGGTGTCCTGGGGTTATGTGATCATCTTTTGTGACCTTCTGACAAGCAAAGTCAATGGGGAAGCCAGGTTAACAACTTCAATTATAGTGATTCACTTAACAACTATAGCAAGAAAAATCATAAAATTGGAGCAAAACTCATTTAACAGCTGCCTTGCTTAGCAATGGGATTTTGGGGCTCAATAATGATTGTAAGTTGAGGGCTACTTGTACGTCCAGAAACACTTCAGCAACAACTGCTTGAAAAGTAACACTTTTTCAGCAGTGTAAAACTCATGTGAGTTTATTGGCCACAATGTACTTTATTAAAAGTATATATCTTCAATTGCCTGAGCTATTTCGGTTTAGTTGCTAGCCATTTATTTCCTTCCAGTTTTCTTCTTGTGGCTATCCCTCATTCTTCTTTAGGTCTCCTGTGTGAGGGTCTCTAATTCCTACATACATTATTGCAATATTTGTGCCTTGGGATTTGTTCTGAAGAGCTGCAATGAGTAAAGCCTTAAGAAGGTGCTTTTCATGACTCCTTTATCATATGTCACCTAGAGAAGTCTTCCTTAGAAGCTAACCTGAACCCAAACTCATGTATTTCAGGGACATAGGGAGGTCTGAGACCTCCAAAGATGAGGTCCAAAGGAACTGAGTCCCATTCCTAAATCAGAGACCAAGGACAATCACAGTGTCAAACCTGGGGGAGACAAAGCAGTTGAAGGAGTCAGGTTGTTTCAATGTGGTTGCTGGGATGAAAAGTCTTATTCAGAAGTAAATGGTTACTGAAAAAGTGTGGCCTTTTCCAAGAATTGCTTCCCAAATGGCCTGGCTTTTCTCTAGCTGGGCTTGGGCATGGCTCCAGGCAATTTGGCTTTAAACCCTTCTGCTATTGGAATTGTGTTTATCTCTGGCTGCTTTAGTGCTTGCTTTTGATTGCTTGTTTGATATTGTTTCTGCAATTTACCTGGGATCTTGACTTGCATTCATAGACTGGGCCTGCCTTTGGATCCTTGTCTTTTACCTATGGTGTGGCTCCTGACTAACCTACAACTTAACAGAATTTTCTGCTTGGCTCTTCCTGTAAAGCTTTAAATAAAAAAAAGGAATAGGAAAAAAAAGATAGGTGTTGTCAGATTAGAACCTGAATAGTATCATTTCTATCATAAAACCTTTTTGTTAGTGGTCTCAGAGGGGTAGGTCTTAAAAAATCTGGGTAATTACTAAATGCCAAAGAGCCATTTGATTTTTTTGGCTCTGATCTCGGAATCCTAACATATCACCGTTAGTAGGCAGTTCAAGCTCATTAAAAATAAATTAGAGACGTCTTATATTACTGGGATACCCAGGTAGAAAGTGCTACAAGATTTTGCAAAGCAAGTCATTCCCTTTAGTGAATCAAGTCCTCTTGTGAGGTTTTTAGGGCTTGGGTGAGATAACAGACTTTCTGTATAATAGCCCCCCACCTTATATCCATCACCCAGAAGTGCAGGTGAAACTCAAAAAATTAGAATATCGTGCAAAACTTCATTTATTTCAATGCAACTTAAAAGGTGAACCTAATATACGAGATAGACTCATTACATGCAAAACAAGATAGTTCAAGCCGTGATGTGTCATA